TTTCACCTCTCCTGAAATTTTCAACCCTCCCTGAAATTTTCAACCCTCCCCGAAATTTTTTTCTGGCTACGGTCCTGTGTGCCACACACTATATGCATTATTCATCACTGGAAAGAGTATACCATACAAGATCTCTTCTTATTGCCATCACATGCCCTGTTGGCTCAGCGGCAAGGTATATAGGCTTCTTTCTGCTCTCCAATATTTTTCTCTGGAGTAAAAGGAGAGTATTGTTTGCCTAAGAAATCACTACTGAAAAGTCAACAGACAATGTGAAGGCACACAAACACACAAAAGGGGAAACCGCCAGCTAGGCATCCAGCAACTATTTTGTGTCATTTTCCTTCTCTCCTCCTAGCAATTTATTATATTTTATTTTGGTACCGCAATATTCTAGGAACCCCAATATTCCAATTAACAAAGCATAACGGAGAGATTTTTTAAAAAAAGAAAGTTTAGGATAGAGAAATGTTGGATTTGGGAGAACAATTAGGATCTTTCCCAAATCCAATTTTGTTCTGTTGGTTTCAGAGTTCTGGGCTCTTTATATTTAAGCAGCTGCCACCTTTGTTTTATGCGAAATTTACACATAAGAAACAAAGGGATTCAACTTCTCTGAATTTTTAATCCACTATCTGTGTCACGCTGGGCAAGTCACAGTCTCTCAATGGCAGAAGAGAGCACTGGCAAACTACTTATGAATACATTTTGCTGAGAAAACCATATGATTGATGGAGTCACCTTAGGATCTCTATAGGTCGGAAGTGGCTTGAAGACAAACTACAATGTAACAATGTAGTTCTAGAGCACAGCTTTTCTTTCTTGGTTTTCTCTGTTGTTTTATTTCGGGTTTTTTGGAGGGATATTATTGTAACAGTGAAACTGTCCGCTGGCGCTCAGTATATGAATCTTTAAGATAATATGGACAATGTTACATTCTCATCTATTAAAAAATGGCTCAGTTCAAAATACAGGGAACTACAAGTTGGGTTCTATAGGTTTGTTCTTAACTTGAATTTGTATGTAAATCGGAACAAGTATATTTTCTAAGTGTAACTCCAACTACACACACACACACACACACACACACATATGGACAGCATAGGGGTTAACACCCCTGTGCTGTTTGTCTTGCTTCCAGCCCAAGGAAAAACAAATTACAAACGTTTATAAAATATTATTAAAATTAGACACAGAAGTACATCTAATCAAAGATTGTATGTTTCAATGGTCAAAGAATATGAGCCATAATGGCCACCTAGAGAAATAGGAACTGATGTGGAATACAAAGATAAAATTCACAAGATGTTATGAGCAAAGAGAAAATTTCTACAAGATGATGTATAGATGGTACATGACCCCAGAAAGATTAGCAAAAAGGGAACCAATTTTTTCTTTTAAAAAATCTTGTAAATGTCATAAAATTAAATAACTTTTAACCATATGTGGTGGACATGTCTTAAAACTAAAAAAAAATTGGATTATAATTCATAAGAACATTGAAAACATCTTAAAAATTAAAATACTACTAGAACCAGAATCCTTTTTGTTGAGACTTACAAATTCAACATGACCGAAACAAAATTCTGATATTCCTTTTGTACATGGTAACTGCAGCAAAGATTGTTTATGCTTACTATTGGAAACAAGAAGACAAAATGCCTACCTAAGATTTATGGATTGCAAAAATGTTGGACATTTCAGAGATGGACAAGCTGACTAGGTTTATACAATTGCCCGATCCTTCCAAATTTGAAGAAGAATGGCAGCCCTTTATTGACTATTTAAAAGAAGAAAAGAAAATGAAAATATTGAGTTTTCTATAGCATCAAGGGAAACTTAGTAGTAGAGAGATGTGGGAATAACAAGGAAAAAAATAGAGAAGTTAGTGACAAGAATAACAGGATCCCCAAAGATATCCAAGGGATCCTAGAAAGTTAATCTATCAGAGATAAGCTTTATGAAAAAAATAATAGGTTTTTTGAAGAAGACAGCACAGACAAAGTAGGAAGTGTTAGTTAGGGCTTTCTATTTCCCGTTTCTCAACTTTTCTATCAGTGGCGAAGTGGGTTAAATCCTTGTGCTAGCAGGATTGAAGACTGACAGGTCAGAGGTTCGAATCCGGGGAGAGCGTGGATGAGCACCCTCTGTCAGCTCTAGCTCCCTATGTGGGGACATGAGAGAAGCCTCCCACAAGAATGATAAAAAAACATCAAAACATCTGGGCATCCCCTGGGCAACGTCCTTGCAGATGGCCAATTCTCTCACACCAGAAGTGACTTGCAGTTTCTCAAGTCTCTCCTAACATGAAAAAAAAACTTTTCTATCTTCTTTGTTTCAAAATACTGTACAGCCATTTTTCTATCCTTCTGTTTCAGATCAGAAAAGAAATACTTTTTTTCTCTTTTCTTTTTTTAACATCATAGAAACTTTTTTTGTATTAGATAACAACGGATGAAGATGAAGATGAAGCATGTTAAAAATACCCCTGTTCTATATCCACTCTTGTACCTTTTCCCATTCCTCATATATTTGTAATAATTTTTCCTATATGTATTTGTTTATTTAATGTTGATGTATTATGTTTTAGATTTTTAGTGTTAGCATTGAATCTTTGCTGTCAGCCAGTCAGAGTCCCTCTGCAGAGGTAGAGAAGATTGGGATATAAAAGTTTTACATAAATAATAAATAAATAAATAATAAAAATTATATGGTGAAAAACAATTCTCCATTTTTAAAAATATTATCTTGCATTCTCCTTCTTAAAGTAGCCTGAAAATATCAAGGAACATGGGTTTGTAACCATCCTGTGATGTTCTTCCCTTTCACAACAAGCCATATTTCTGAATGGGAAATCAGCCTCCCAAGTACAACAAGGACAATTCATTCCCAGAAAGTCCACTACTTTCCCATAATGATCTCATGTCAAGGATTATTTTCTGGTGAGGAGACGAATGGACCCCAACAGGACATGATGAATGGAGCCAGCTTGCATTTGGAAAATGGTGGTTTGGTTTTCTTACTCCTAACTTGGCATATTTGTTGGGTCATTTTGAATTAGTGTAGAACTGGATTAAACAAAATTTTTATTCAGTTATTTATTTATCTTCGCCCAGTTGTTCATTAACAGTCAAGGTTCATATTAACAAATCTTTAATCTTCTTCAGTCAATTGTGCAAATGTTTGTGTGTTTTCAACAGTGTTGAGTAATGTCTGACAATATATGAAACCTGTGCAAAAAACTGAATACAGTAGTCATCAAATATTGGGGAAAAATAATTAAGGGTGGAAATTAAAGTCTTTTGCAATATCTTGCCGCAACTATAACAGTATTTTATCTGAAACTTCTGCCTGCTTTACTGATAATGTCTAACAGATAACAAAAAGGCCAGCTCTTTCTCAACTTTTATTATATATCCTTTAGCTTAAATGTGTTATGTCATATTTGATAAACCGGTCTTAATTGATCAGATGAGACCTTTCAACCCAGAAATCACCAAGATCTAAAGATAAGACTAATAAAGTTTTTTAGTCTCATAAATATATACTAGTAAGCATTGATATGACAAACATTAAATGCTTTTACTACTTACCAACAGAAAGATAACAGGGTCAAACCTTTCTACATAACACCATATCCATTTTGGGCAAAATGACATCTGTTGAGTCTAACTGTCAAAGTAACAAAGACTCAGCAAGAAATTTTATGTTTTAATTGATATTAAAACTGTATCCATTGTAATCATATCATCTCAAAAATACTTGATCAATGTGATTAAAATGCAGAATATTCTGAACAGATTTGATTTTTACTGGAAACTATTCCTCTTGTCGCATTGCTCCATCTGTGGAATATAAAACCAAAAAAGTCTTTGGAATGTTCCCATGTAGAAAATATAAAGGTTCTGCAAGTGGATAAGTCATCACTAGGGACATCATCACACTAGAGAATCCATCCACTTTAAATTCAGTTTCTTCCTCCTGCAGAATTCTGAGGTTTGTAGTTTAGTGAGTTTAGTGAGGCTATTAAAGGCTCCTCCTTACGTATCTCCTCTGACGTATCTCTCCTTATGAACCATCTAGGACATTAAGATCTTCTGGGGAGGCCCTGCTCTTGCTCCCGCCTTCTTCGCAGGTGCATCTGGCGGGGACGAGAAACTGGGCCTGCTCAGCAGTGGCCCCTCAACTGTGGAATGCCCTGCCTACTGATATAACATCAGCTCCATCCCTCCTGACTTTTCGAAAAAGGTGAAATCCTGACTTTTTGAGCAGGCCTTCTCAAATATGGCATAGCTAAACAGAATTATGGAACTACTTGATAACGCAGTGGAATAATGATTTGACATGGAGATGCTCACGATAATGTTTTAAGGCTTTGTACGGTTTATATATTTTTTATATCATAAGCTATTGTTTTTAACAGAATTTCTTGATTGTTTTTACTTTTTATAATTGTTGAGGCATTGAATTGTTGCCAATTTGTGAACCGCTCCGAGTTGCCTCTGGGCTAAGAGGGGCGGTATATAAATATAGTAATTAATTAATTAATTAATTATATTACAAACCCCAGAATTCTGCAGCAGGCTTAAACTGGATTTTAAATGGATTCATTCTCTAGTGTTATGAAGAAGTAGTTATTGATGGGGGGTAGGGTACAAGGGACTCTCAGTTCCAACTTTAGGGTTTCATGATGACAGCTTGAAGCAAGGAGTATAGGCGAGGTGGTTCCTTGTTATGCTAAAAATGAATGAGAAGGGAGTTTGGGGAAGAGAGGACACATCCCAGTACCTTGCAAAAGGGGCAGGACTGGGGGCTGCCAGGGGAGCAATGCCACCAGCTCAGCTCAGCTCAGGAGGCGGAGGTGGGTTGTTCCAGGGGCGCGAAGCGAGGGGCGCCCACGGATTCCCCAAGCAGTGGGCGCAGGTGCCTCCCCCAAACCTGGGACTGGGGCCCTCCCTCCGCCTCTCCCCTGGGGCTCCATCCTCCCTGGTTGCACTGACCTGAGATGCCGCCCCCGATCACCACCACGTCGCATTTGTTGCTGCCGCTGTTCATGGTTGCAACCGCTTCCTCCTCCTCTCTTCCTCTTCCTCTCCGCCCGGCTCTCGGTGCTGCTCCTTCTGGCAATCGCTGCCGTGCCGAGGCCCCTCCAGAGCTGCTCCACGCCCCTCGGCAGGGATCGGCCCGGCGGGGAGGCTCCGCCCGCCTGTTGCTGCTTCTTCCCCGGCGCCGGGAGGAGGAGGAGGAGGAGGAGGCCACAACAATGGAAGAAGGGCGCAGGACCGCGTCCGCTGCACCGGCTAGATCTCAGTCTCTATCCTCAAATCCAAAGAGGGTCTTTGAGGGAAGGCTGGGGGGATTCGGTTCCTCTGACAAAGGCCACAGAATGAGCATCACCTTTCCTCCCTGGCAGGGAGCCCTTCTGTCCCTAGGTGGAGTCCTGCGAGACCTGTGAAGATCTGTGGGAATCATCACCTCATCACACCAGAGAATGAATCCACTTAAAATCCAGTTTCTGCCTCCTTCAAGATTCTGGGGTTTGTAGTTTAGGGATGAGCCTTTAACGGCCTTACTTAACTACAAAGCCCAGAATACTGCAGGAGGCAGAAACCAGATTTTAAGTGGATTCATTCTCTAATGTGAGGAAGTACTAAATAGAATCATAGAGTTGGAAGAGACGTTATAAAACCATCCAGTCCAAACCCATTGTGCCCTGCAGGAAAAGCATAATTGAAGTCTCCCTGACCAATGGCCCCCATCCAGCCTCTGTTGAAAATCCTTCAAGGAAGAAGCTTCCACCACACTCCAGGGTGAACAGCCTGTCTTACAATCAGGAAGTTCTTCCGAATGTTCAGGTGGAATCTCCTTTCCTGTAATTTGAACCCATTTTGAAGTGGATATTATTAGTATATGAGGGACGGGAAGGGATGCTGGCCCAACTGTTCTGGCCCAACTTACCTGTTTGAACGTATTTCTCCCTATTGCCAGTTAGAGCAGCTTTTCTCAACCTGGGGGTCGGGACCCCCTGCGGGGGTCACTGGCAATGAAGATCTGCATGCGCTTTTGGAGAGTAGCCATACTATTATACACAGATGCTCCCCCTCAACGTTTTTTTGTCCCCAGAGTATATTTCCCCACCTGTATGAAGGTCTATTTTAAGACCCCGTTCCTTTATGAGTTTCTCCCTCACAAACAATCTGCTCCATCCCTATCTCATCCTGATTTTTAGTATTTTAGTATTTTATCTTGCACATGCGACTTGCTCGTTGTTATTTTATTGTGTATGATTTTGTTTTATTTTTTTTGTACTCATATGTTGTATGTATTTTGCTGTGTTGTTATTGTGTTTTGGTTTAATTTTATTGTAATATGCTGTTGGGATTGGCTTCATGTGAGCCACCCCGAGTCCCCATTGGGGAGATGGTGGCAGGGTATTAATTATTATTATTATTATTATTATTATTATTAGTTAAAGCAATGGTATTCCCCATAGCAATCTATGAATGTGAGAGCTGGACTATAAGGAAGGCTGAGTAAAGGATAAACACTTTTGAACTGTGATGTTGGAGAAGAATTCTGAGAGTGCCTTGAACTGCAAGAAGATCCAACCAGTCCATACCTCAGAAAATAATGCCCAGCTACTCACTAGAGGGAAGTATATCAGAGGCAAAGATGAAGTACTTTGGCTACATAATGAGAAGACAGGAAAGCTTGGAGAAGATAACGATGCTGGGAAAATGGAAGGAAAAAGGACGAGGGGCAACCAAGGGGGGAATTGGATGGATGGTATCCTTGAAGTAACTGGCTTGACTTTGAAGGAGCTGAGAGTGGCGATGACCAACAGGGAGCTCTGATGTGGGCTGGTCCATGAGGTCACGAAGAGTCAGAAGCAACTGAACGAATAAACAACAATGATGCCACTTTAGCTCAATGCTATGAAATGTCATAGTACTTGTAGTTCTACAAGGCCTTTAGCAGCAAACTCCAGATCACAGGATTCCATAGCACTGAACCTGGCAGTAAAAGTGGTATCAAATAGTCTCAATTCTATAATGTAGATGTCTCTAGTTCCTGTTTCCATGCCTTTAGTGTTTCGGCAGCAGCGGCAGTGGCAAAAAAATGCAACTATTGACCTCCTCTTTGCTTGATTACATCTTTTCATTGAGAAATTAAAGCCAGTATGATGTAGTGATTTAAGTGTCAGATTGCAGCTTTGGAGACCAGAGTTTGAATCCCTATTCAGTCATGAAAACCCATTGGGTGACTTGGGCAAGCCACATTCTTTTGGCCTCAGAGTAGCCCTCCTACTGAACAAATCTTGCTAGAGAACGGCATCGTAGATTCACCATGAGATCATCATATATTAGAAGCTACGTGAAGACACACAAAGCAACAGCTTGCAGTTATCTCAATTGTTTATCATAAAGGAACATTCTTTCAGTTATCTGTTGTGAAGCCTTCATTGCAAAGCCTTTACCCAGATCCATGCTTGCCATGAAAACATGAAAGTATTGAATCTAAACTTAATTAAGAGTAAGAGATTAAATTTCTAGACAAAAAACTTTTCTTCTTTTTTTATGTATTGAGGAGAAGAGAGCAAGGAACATGACTAGATCCTTTCAATACAGCTAGTGTGTAGACAGTGAGCATCGGGAATGCTTTCTGTATGGCATTATGAAGATGTTTATTGCTCAGAAACTAGGAATGTAAGAGAATTCTCAATTTTCTGAGGTTTTAAAATGGATTTACACAAGCCACATCATCCAAAGTAAACTAAACCAAAAATGAGGAAGTCCATTAATGTGTTGTTTGCAAAATGTGCGTGCATTGCAGTTTGGCTATCTTTACCCATGAGTAAATCAGTTTGCATGTTTCTCAAAGACACAAACTCTCAGGGAGTAATTGTTATCAGCTTTATTGGGAGAGCCTACATCTCTTAAAAGCAGTCATGTTAACAGATCAGACAGAAAACACCCCGCCCGCTACCACCCTTCAATTCTAGTAAAATAAGAGACATTCCTTTGCTACTTATCTTTTCCCCAGATAAATCCAATGGCTCAGTCTCAGTATTTTTAGCCAAATTCTTCCCTTTTGTATCAGCCTTTTCAATATGACCTTCTGCCTCTATATCTCATGCCTCTCTCCCCACAACCCCTCCTCCCACATTTCTCTGCTTCACCCTCTCTTGGATACACACTGCTATTAACCCTTCCTTCCTTCCTTCCTCCCTTCCTTCCTTTCTGTGCTCTTTCATCCTTGATTAGATTACTTGCTTTTCCTTTGCCTCCATCTTCATCTGTAAAGTTCCCTCTGTATAGTCAACCCTCTTAAAGTGTGATAGAATACATGAGGATTTTTAACCAAAAACAAAAAACCCTAATCTTACACAGGAATGGAACAGGCTGGTCCTTGAGGTGGGAAATGATCAAAATCGATAGAAACAGACTTGACAGATCTGGCACTTCAAAACACTCCAGTCATTTTGCCCTTAGCTCAGTACTGGCCTGATTTGTTCATGCTACTTTGGTGACCATCAGCGCTGTTTCTTCAAGGGGAGTTTCACATGTAAAGCCTTGACTAATCCAACCTAGAGATTCATGTGGTAAGGTCTATGATCCAATAAGAGAGTAAATGCTCTCCATGTCTGCAAGATCCAATAGAATTATCTTATAAGATGTAGCCATAGTATCAAAATGTTTCCCAGTGAATGATCAAATAAAGGAACCACCAATTTGTGTAAGTACATGAAAGTTCCACTGGATTTATGAATTCCACCCTAGCTTAACCTCCATTTTACAGTATGTGAACTCAACCTAAACCTCACACAATTGATTACAACGTTTAAAAACTGGTTCAAAAACTAATTCCAATTAAGCAGACAGATGTCCATTGGCTCAGTGGTAGTTCTTCTTCTCCAGCCTACTCCTCCTCAGATCCCAACATCCTCCCCAACACTTCAGAACAGATTTGCAGGGCTGAATGTGAAAGAGGAATTTCAACCATTCACAGAAACATGCAGTTGGATATAACCCCAGGACAGATGCTTCATCTCCTGTGGTCTACAAAGCCAGGTGTCATTACTGTAGCTTAGTAGATGCCATCCAATGTCGAATATTCAGGTATTCTTTTCTTGTCGCTTCATTAGATGTTAAATCAATTTGAAGGCATAGCAGCCCCATGGATGCAAGTAAGTATTTCTCATGGTCTTCTTCTGCATGTTTCTTTTTTTTTTGGGGGGGGGGTGGCAATTGTAGAGTTAATTTTTATATTCTTGACAGATATCCCAGCTCACTCAGAAGAATAGGACAGTCCATCTCAACTAAGCCAGTAGGGTGCACTGTTCATATTTCTCTCAAGGCAGAGATTCTTCCTCAAGGCTATTTAAGCAGTCTCATTTGCATTTTAAAAATCATCCAGTGACTGCCCAAGCTCAACTATCATATTTTTGATGTGGAACTGTTACAACTCAGCAATACAACAAGACTTATTTTCTTCTGACACGCTTAACACAAGCATTATACAGACACACCCAACGTGAGTGACTTTACCCATTGCTGCTTATGGGTGTTGTGGAGGGGTTTGCCCCATAGAATGGGACTTTGAGATCACCTTGAGACCACTTTACTTCTATACATAGAATAGAGAGTAGAAACTCCAACTTTAGCTTTCCCTCAGGTAGCAGAATGCCTTGGGCTGGCCCTTAAAGCTTGGTCAGTTAGCAATCTTCCCACAAGAATGGCTACATTTCAGTACTGGCAATAAATGCACAACCCAAATGCTTCCTCAGTGACATGAAGGGCTAATACATTTGTTTTCAGTTAACAAACACTCCCCCTCCCTGCTCTACCTTTACCAAATAAAAATGCTGAAACATGCTGTTTTCATCTCCCAAATCTTTCTAGATCTGCTTTAATGTAGGGTATTAATAGGCCACGGACTTCACTCTGTTATCAGGCTGGCTTTGGTGCTTAGCAACTATCTAATCCACAACATCCACTCACAGGGTTGCTTTTCACATTTTATTTCAAAGATCCATTTGCTCTTTTCTCAGGCCCAACCATGTCTGCAGCCTGGCATAAAGGGGAGTAGCTATTCCTATCAATTTGAATAGGATTGTATTTAGCAGGTTTGTTATTGTTGTTTTGTGTGTACTGTACCAAATGCTGATTAGCCAATCTAGAAATCCATGATTATGAAGGGAAAATAAAGCAAAAATGAAAT